TTGAGTGGTTGATCATCCTGCTGTAAGTGTTCCAGGAGGAAGTTTTATAGGTTTATGCTTTTTTCTGTTGTACCATTTGTCTGCTGCATCTTTTTGTAGGGTGACATGCCATGCCCACATGTGTGCAAACTCCCTGGTGGAGGGACCAGAGCAGGTCAGGATCCCTGTCTGGAGTGGGAGATGCTCTGAGTGCTGCTGTGGCCCAGCAGAAGCTTTCAGAGTGCGCTGGGTGCTGTGCAGGTGTGTGCAGCAAGTGGCAGAACCCCTTCCCTGTCTCCTGGGCTGCTCTCCTGCCTCCCCAGCTCCTGTGTGCCCTGCAGGACCTGGGCAGCCAGGCTGAGCACAGAGGGATGGCCCCGGCCAGGAGCAGCCAGGTGAGCAACTCTGCTGAAGGAATTCTCCTGTCACGGGGCTTGGTGTGACGGCATGCCCTAACACTCTACAATACTGGGTTAATGAATATGAAATTAATAACTTACTGGAATCAGGGAGCTCAAGTATCATTGTAAGAATTTATTGAAAACAAGGTAGCAGAATTTAAGGTGTTCAGTTTTCCACTTTCAAGCTCTTCTGTGCATTTCTGCATGTTTTAATGTGTTTAGCCCTATTAACCATTAATATCATGCTTAACTCTGAATAGGTGAGTTTGCCCCATAGTTTTTTTCTCTGCAGTCTTTCCCTTCTGTATAAACAGTTTCATGGCAAAGAGCTGCTGGGGTTGCTGTAGGCCTGGGCTCTGTGGGGCTGTGCCTTCACACAGTCACAGAGTCCTGGGAAAGGAAACTGTGGGCATGAGTCAGGCAGGAACGAGTGGAAACACCAAAGCTTTGGGCACCGGGAGAACTTGTAAAAGTTTTGACTTATTCCTTTCTGACTGTATGTTTGCCTTCATCATCCCTGCTTCAGAGGCCCCTCATTGCTGCTTCAAACCACATCAGCCTCCTTGCCCCATTCTCCCAAACATTTTTGCCTTTGAGTTTCCTTTTTGCCTGCTTTTGTAATCCTGCCTGCCTCTCCAGCGCCCCTCACCAGACAGAGCTACTGCTGTGTTTGCTGCCACCACTGCTCACCATGGCCAGGGTTAATCCCCTCCCTGCACTAACTCCTCCTGTGAAGCAGCCAGCAGACTTGCCATTAGATAGCCTTAAGTTAATCAAGATGAATAATTAATAAACTGAGAGCAGCTCTCTTTCCTTCCTCTGATTCCTACACAGAATCAAACCATCTTGTTTCCATACCTGTGTGCTGCCAAAAGATTCTGAACTTTTGATCTAACTTAGCCAAATTGTTATTAACTTGCATAGGTTTTGACATACTAATAACCCCATTGAAGTGCCTGCTGTTCCCTACATCCTTCAAGATGTCCATGTGTTAAAGAACCTTGCTGAATCAGAACATTTCTATTAGCCATCACTATCCTCCAAAAGTAATAATGTCTTGATTTCCTTTTCTCATATTCTCCAAAGGCTTTCCTAATCTGTTTTCACAGCTGCAGACTGAGGGCATCTCTGCTCTTTGCTTGGATTAGTCACTGGGGTTGGAGGGTTTGCTTAAACCCAGCAAGAGCAGCACTGCCTCTTGCCCACAGGGTCTGGTTGTGGTTGTGTGCAGGGACTGCTCTGCACAGACAATGCAAACACAAAGTCACTGCTTCTCCTCCAGCTGTTCGTTTCAGTCCCCAGTGTAGAGGCCATATTCTGAAATGATTGCCATGCTCAGCAGGTGCTTGCTGAGTACCTAGTTTGCCTGCTCACACCCTGGGACACCTCAGTTCCAGGCCAGGGGCTGCTCATGAGGAAACCCTGGTAGCAGATTTTGCTTTGCTTTGGCACTATCTTCTGAATTTGCTTCTGGATAGAGGACTCACCTGTTTCTCTCCCTTAGACCTGTAACTCTCATCTTGGCCTAACCCCAAGCAGGGTCCCAGCCTGGGGGCTCAGTCACTCCCCAGCTGAGCAGTGCCAGGGACTGAGTCCCTTTTGCAGCCTCCCTGCCTGCCCAAGTGAGTGCTGCCATCCCTGAGCCCAGCCCTGCAGGCCTGGCTGAGCTTTGCTGAGTGGACACAGTGCCCCTGTCAGCCCTGTCACCCCTGCTGCAGGGGGGAGCTGTAGCACCTCACCAAGGTTCTGGAGAAGATGGGCACCCCCATCCCAGCTGGCAGACCTGCCCTTGCTGAGCACCAAACCTGCACCAGGGAACTCAAACATGCTTTGTTTCCCATCACTCTTATTCCCTTGTCATCTTCTCGTGGCAGCCCACACTCACACACACACACACACACACAAAAGCTTTCTCCACTCCTGGAGTTCACTGGAGGATTCATTTTGCATTTCTCCCTGTGTGCTGCACACCTGAAATGCCCATTTTCTCTCAGCCTCTCTACACTCACACCATGCTCCTCCCTGACAGTGATACAGGTACCCAGCTGAGTAATCCTTCTCCCTGGTGCCTTGCCCTCCAAGTGAGTTTAACTGCAAAAGGAAATAGAAGTGAGAGCTGTGTGGATGCATCCATCAGGCCCAGCCTCAGGCACCAACTGCAGAAGGGCTTTTTCCTCACTCTGTATTCGTGCTGTGTTACCCTGGGGAAACTGATAGGAATGTGATATGTAATATTAGTGTATTTTTAATCAGTAGCATGAACTACCCTCCCTCTCCACATGACTTTATTTCCTTCTTAGGAAGGCTCTGTTGCACTTGTTACCTTCTGTTTTACCGGGATTGTTAGTAAAAGATTTTGTGCCAAATTTATGCTCAGTGAATTATCCCTGAAATTTGTGGAGCCACGGCAGAATTTAATTTGGCAGTGTGGAGTTGCTGTTGCTCCCAGTGATGTCTTCAGGTGAAAATCTCAGCTTTTGATTGCCTTACTTAGAGAAAAACCAGGCCTATGTCTCCATCCTTGTCCAAAGGAGTGCCAGAGGCACTGGAAATAGCCTGTGCCAGAGGCACTGCCATGGCACAGACTCTGCTGCTGCTGAATGTGAGAAGTGTGGCAGCAATCTGTGCCAGAGGCATTTAGGAAATCTGCCCCTCAAGGCAAAGGTTTCTGAAAGGTGAGGAGGGTTTGAACAAATGCATTAACATCGATGGTGTGTTCAATACCTTTGATTTTCTCTTTGTCTTCTGATGGAATAAGTCAGAGGTGATGTGCAGCATCCTCATGATGTTGGGGCCAGAAGGAGCACTTTGAGTGAAAGCTTAATAGAAATTCAGTGTGATGCCATGCTGAGCATAGAATTGGTTGACTGCATAAATCTAAATGTCAATTAACTAGAAAGTGTTACCAAATGGAACTATGATGTTTTAGTTCCATGTTGTCAACACATGAAACGAAGCATATTAATTGATAAGGAGTAAACTCTGTATGAGTTCATTAAAACAAAAATTAAAAATATTCAAAGTAGGACCAAGATACCTACAGTGTTTTGAAGAAGAGAGAAAAGGTCAATTATTGAGTACTTTGAGAGCTAAGCATCATTTGGACATTTATAAGAATTACTTAAAAGCTGAGAGAGAAGCAATGAGAAGTTTGTGCGGCAGTCCCAAGTCCTGATACACTTGGTAGAGTACTGCTGAATAGTAAAATACAGGTTGGTGAGCAATCTAGAAAGGATGATGTTTTATTGAGTGGTGTGGATTGTTACTTTGGTTGATTTGATTTTTATCCTGTAAGGAAATTAAAGCTCAAGCACTTCCAAACTTGATTATATTTCTAAAGATCATCTTTGCATGCCAGCTTTTGCCTAGAAAGTCACCCGAAGATGTCAGCCATTGAAACCATTTCATGTGGAAGCATTGCTAAGTAAATTCACTAAATGCCTATTCATCCCAGTAAGATGGAGAGTCACTGGAGCAGCAAATGTGAAAATCTGCACAGCTTACTATACAGAAAGCAGTTTCTGAGTTTGCCCAATTGAGATGCAGAGTCTGAGCCTGGGAGGTGCTGCAGCTCACATGAGTAAAGGAGGAGGGGCTCAGGGCCCTGTCTGTCAGGATGCTTGATTGACAGATAATTCATTTGGTCTAGATAATATCAATGAGATTATGAAAATAGTTTATTTACTTGGCTGTAACATTTCCAGGTTGTTGCAGCCTGACCCCAGAAGTTAAACACATTTTGTACAGTTAAACACATTCAGGTTTAACTTGGTTTTCTATGGTTTATAATAGAAATGTTTTCAAAATACAGTAGTATTGACAGCTCTTTTATCTGGAGTCTTTCTGCTACAAAATTCATTACAGACCATTGCTTAAATGGTGTTGTATCCATAAGGTTGTGGATTCAAATGCAATTCAGGAGATTAAGATCTTTTTAATGTGATTTATTCAGTTTTCCTAAATATGCTGACCTAGATAAATAGAGAATATTTTTGCTCCATTGTTAAAGAAAGAGCAGACCACAAAAGCTGTCAAGTGTAAATACATTCTTGGACATGTCAGCTGAAATTTGAAAATGCTGGTGTCGGATTGCCTGTCATACTAATTGGAATTAACCTTCTAAATTCCTTTGTTCCTGTTGATTATACTGCCTTTTTGACATCAAAATTCTCTGTATTATGCATTCCAACCTTGGTGTCTTCTCTATTACACAATAAAAACAAATAAAGTGCCAATAGATACTGAACCAAACTCCCTAGGAAATATCTAGCAAAGCATGTAAAATGGAACTATCAGTGCAGTCATCTTGCAGCTGGATTTTTATACTTAAGAAGTGTTGAGCAGTATTACTCCATGCACACTCTGTTATAAAGCTTAAAATACCTGCCAAGGGTTGATAAGAAATTTGTTAGGGTGTAGTAAAGCTGTGCTTCCTTCCAAGTATGCTTTCCTGAGCAGAGGGGGTCACTGAAGTTTAGCAACAGGATGGAAGTTTTCTTTGGAACCACCTCCTTCAGAATCTGAGCATGGTCCCCAAATGAGAACAATGAATCTATGAATGGCTCTGGATGCAGTGGTTTCACAGTGTAACTTGTGCCCCTTTTGTTCTTTCTTTCACAGGACAAACGATCAGCTCGTGGCATTCCTGTCCAGATACCGAGACATGAACTTCTTGAAATCCCATGGCAGGGACAATGCAAGGTGAGCTGGCCCTTTCCTCACCTTCATTTAACCAGAGCACTGAGAATTATTGTATGGGGACAGTTTCCAGCGTCACCTGATTGAAGAAATCCCTAGTCCAGGAAAGAGACCTGAATGAGGAGGAAACCCTTTTCTGGGGATGGTTGTTTCTTGGACAGAGGGACTCCAACCCAGAGTCAGAGGTGTTTTTGTGGGGAGGGAGGCTGTAAGCAGTCTGATGTTGCATCCTCCTGTGGACTCAGCACAGATTGACATTTTTTGAGCAATTGCCACTTGCCCACACCCCAGGCACACTGGTGAGCAAGGCTGGGTTATCTGAGCTCTGCAGCACAGCCTGGCACAGGCAGAGCCCCAGCTGTGGCAGCCTGCAGTGCCACAAAGAGTGAGGGTGGTGGCTGGAGCTGGTCACAGTCTACCAAAGTTTGGATCAAAATCCTTCTTCACCCACCCTGCACAGGTCTTGGGGAAGGATAGTGCTGTGTTTCCCACCACTCATCAGTAGTACTTGAACTTTCCATTGTGGTTTGGGGGAGCAGCAGTGACCAAACAGCATCTTCCAAAGGCTTTAACAACCTCTGCAGATGAAAGAAGTTTCCCATCTGACTGCAGTGGTCCTGTTTTCCTCTTTATTCATAGTTTTGCTGTTGCTCCTTTTTGCTGGTTTTGTACCATAACAGCAGTCCTGCTGCACTTCCAGCGACTCCATATGCTGGGCCCCAGTGGCTTTGCATCTAAAAATATTATTTTATTCTGCTTGGGTCACCAGGTCTTCCCTTTATTCTGTAAAATGTCAAGTGTACCCAGAGAATGTGACACACTGAGTCATGTGTTCAGCACAGCAGGCAGGCAGAATAACTCACTCTTCTTGGCCATTCTTACTCTTGTCACCAGATTTATCAATTCTGTCATGTTCCCGTTTAAATTAAGTCCTCACGAGCATTCATCTTGTGCATGCACAAATTCTATAGCAGGTAGTAAAAAATAATCCTGTGAGGAGTCATATTTAAAGCCAAGTCAACAGTTTTCACAGGAGAGTCCCTGGTTTGGGAAATGCAGAGTGTCAGAGTGATTGGCAGACTCAGCTCTAGCTGGCAATAGTGATGGACAGCAGAGTTAGTAGAGAAAAGAGCAGAGAAAGAGCCAGGAAAATGCAGTTGGTCTCTTGCCTCCTTGCTCCTCTGGTGCTCCTGAGTCTTCTCAAATTCCCTGAGCTGGCAAAGGAAAATAACTAATGGGTTATGACACACCAACATCAGGCTGGTTCAAACATGCCAACTTGAACTGGATCAGAACAATTTAAACCAATTAAACACGCTAAGCTGGTATTAATTTAATAATGAAATGAGCAAATGTGCCACTTGTCCTTCCATCACAGGAATAGCAAACTGATTTAGTAGTTCAATGGTTCGCTTTGTATAAACAGCTAAATACCTTTTAGCTTATTACAACATGTCACTGTGTTTTAATTTTTTCCCTGGATTTCTACCATAAATTCCCCGTGCATCAGGGAACATGATCTGGGATATGAGTGCAGATTTGCCCTCCCTGTCTGCCATGGCTCCCTAATCCCTGAGTCCCATTAGTGCTCCCACTGCTGACCACTGGATGAATGGATCCTTTCACATTACCCCTTGGCACATCCCCAGATTTTCTGTCAGGGAGGTAGAGTGGCTTCCCTCCTCCTGCACAGCCCAGGCAGCTGCAGACACACTCAAGCCAGCAGCTGCAAACACCTCTGAGCAGTGCTGGTGTTGGGTAAAAATCCACTCCATTGTTCCCAAAAGCTGATCGAAAAGTAATTATCCCCTCTTTGTATTGTGGGTGAATTTCCAGCTCCACGTCCACCTGTTGAGAGAGAAATATCTAAAGTGAAGATTTCTAGTCTGATATTTCATGTTTAGTGTTTGAGTGACTCAGTCTTGACTGAGCTGGTCAGTGAACCCTCTGCTCTCCCATCTGACACACCGTTCCTCACTTTCACTGAGTGCCCAGGTGTGTAGGCTGTGCTCACACCAGGCAGGTTTATCCCTGCAGTCACAGTGGGGAGTCCTCTGGGCTGAAATACCTTCTACAAGCTCAGGCAGGTGAGCCCCACCTGGGCTGTCACCCTGTGTCCTGCAGCCAGTGTCCCCAGGGAGCACAAGGTGTGCAGTGCTGCTGCTTTACAATGTTCTCCCAACCTCTTGTGGCCTTTGCCTGGAGAATTTACACAGCTAAACTCAGTGACTGGCTCATTGTAAGAGTAAGGGATGGGGGTTTTTTTTCCTACTAATTTTTCCAGTTTTTAAATTTTGTTCCTTGCTTTGTCCTGTCACAGCCCAGGGGAAAAGAAATACCCCATGAAGAGTATGGCATGGCCAAGAGCTTAGTAAGGTCTGGAAGAGAAGCAACAGCCTCAAGGGTTGGCAGGAAAAAGTTTAGAAAAGGAAAAAAAAAAGGACAGCTTTTAGAACACAGGCCAGTGTCCATTTTATTGGGCAATAAAGCTCCCTTTGGATATCCTATTTCAAAACACACTGGAACAGAATTTTTTGTTTAAAACAAGGAATTGAAACCATAATAAGGGAGAGGACACTGGCCTGTACTGGTTGGTGCCCCATGTACAATAATGATTTAGTTGGTCCAAGGTGTTTTTCTCAAAACATGGGAACTGCTAATACAGGAGCACAGCATCTAAACAAAATTGAAAGCAATGTATAATCCTTGCTGATACTTTTAATTTTAATTTGTGGATGAATAATGGCACCTAATCAATAAGCTTTTCAAGTCTGCCTTGTAAACAACTGAAAACTCTTAATTTTAAGTCATCATAGTCTTTGGATCATACAACAGAGAAAGATTAGAAGTGCCATCTCAAACCTGAAATGCTTGCACAGCTCAATTACAGTGTACTTTGCATTCAAGCCATGTTCACAATCAGTGCTTGTTTTACTGCCAAATAAGGAGAGAAATCAGGCTTCCTTTTATAGAGTTAAGTTTTCTTTTAGTTATGCCAAAGTCATGAAAAAGTGCATCACTCTGATTTTCCTTTAGTGGCTTCAGCAAAGAGAATGGACATGAAAATGGCTCCTTCACTCAGCTGGAAGCATTATTTCTTGACAGAGGTGGATGTATGAAATGAAATTGCACACAGTGGCTGGAGTTGTTACATAGTGCTTAGTGGGCAACACATTTCCTCCTATATTCAGTGTCTAAGACTATTAAAAGCAAGTGAATAACCTGGTAGTTGTATAAGCTGTTGCAATTTGGAATAGCAGAGGATTTTTTCTTTTTTGGCAGGAGCAGCACCTGGATGATTATAAAACATAAAGACAGTCAAATGTGACATCTTCAGTGGCAGGCAGGAAGAGGGGAGGGTTTGTATAGAAACCTTTCCTCAGCAGTCATTTGGGAAACACTGTAAACTTGCTGAGAAGGCTGGGTCCTGTTAGATCTTAGAGAAATCGTGACCTCATAGGCAAAATACAAACAGCTAAAGAAAAGACCCTTAAAATTTTGGTATGTGTCCTCCTTCTTTTCTTCTGCTGATTTTTTTCTCCTCATTGCTGCTGTTTTTGCAGTTGTGTTGTCCTGTTTCTGGGTTCCAGGTAATTTTAGAGGTGTTGGTGACCTGTATCAAAGGGCATCACAATCCCCTCCCAGCTCTCAGAGGCTGGAGAAACCTCAGCTGCCAAAGGACTGGGGCAGGTTCCCAAAATCTGCACTGCTGGCACACATCTGTTTCACCCCATTTCAGACATGCCTTTGTGCCTCAGTGGCACAGGCTGTTTGTTGGTGTGCTGTGCATGGCATTGATGGGGTTTGGTGGTCAGTTAGAAAATGGATCTCACAGTAAACACTGCTGTGTATTGCACTGCTGAATTACCCAAACACTGGGGGAAAGAATGGATTAATTGTCACTGCTGTTGGAGTAGCCTAACCACACATCCTAGCAGCACATACACTGCTGCTCATGTCACATATTTGGTGGTTCCTTTGGCACAAATCACCCTCAGCCTCATACTTTTTTTTGCTAAATTTTTCAGAACACTTGAGTATTCCGGAGCACATGGACTGACATCTATTTTTTGCTTGGAAGTAGTTCAGCACAACAGTTGCATGAGAAGTGTAGTGACTGAAATAGCAACATGCATCTTCTCTGCAAAGAGAGGCTGCACTTTAAAAATTTAGACATTACAGCTAACTTTCAAATGTTCTTAGTGCTTTATGCTAAGCATTAGGGGAGCCATAAAGCCTTTACAGCTTCAGCTTGACAATTCACCTCCTTGTAGGGCTTTTATTTCTGCTCAGTTTTGGAAAACAGAGCTTTAAGCTGTCAGTGCAAAGAGAAACAAAAGCAGCCATATGTCTTGACGTGGGACTAAGCAGGATGTTCTTTGTTCTTAGTGTATACAGCAAGATCATCTGCTGGTTCAGGAAGGTGCTTCCAGTGAGGAGGTTTGAAGTAGAAGCCATCCTTTATGGGGCAAGGACAGAATTAGGAAGGAGGTGGAAATTGAGATACTGGTAAAATAATCAGGAATCTTATTGCTATCTCAGAACATTGAGCAGCACACTTCATTTGCAGCCCTGTCATCTGAGGCATTTTTTAAAATGGTTATGACAGGAAACATCATTTGAAGGGGCACAGATGTTGGCCCTGGCGTACCCAAAGGTCAGTGGCCTGATTTGGTAGCTTGAAAACCTTTATAGAAGGGACTCACACTTGCCCTCAGTCACTAGAAAGGAGGTGAGGAGACAAGAAAACTTCCAGAGAAGACATTTATTGGAGACAAACAGATGGTAAAATGTCACGTTTAATATCATCGAGTCTGTCTGTCGTGAGTTCATGCTGCATTCTGCATACTATAATTTGCAGTTTTGCTTATTTAATATAAAAAGAAACAGAAACATTTGAGTTGTGGCCTCCCTTATGGTGAGAGGAAGCCATTTCATTTTTGATCTTCTAAAAGCTGTTTCAGTATTGCTTAAAACATACTGTGTAAGTGAAGAGTGGGGTA